CACATACACACATACACACACACACACACACACACACACACACACACACACACACACACACACACACAGCCCGTAGATGATTAGAGTATGTTGTCACAGCTTGCACTCGCTAACAGCTGGTAGCCAAAGTCTCTCGTCATTCGGCGTGCGCGTGCGCGCCGCTCAGGGAGGGAGGCAGCATAGCAAGGTTCGGTTGTAGGTAGATAGCGACAGTAGTAGCAGTAGCAGCAACAGCAGCAGCAGCAGCAGCAGCAGCAGCAGCAGCAGCAACAGCAGCAACAGCAGCAGCAGCAGCAACAGCAACAGCAACAGCAGCAGCAGTAGCAGTAGTAGCAGCAACAGCAGCAGCAGCAGCAGTAGCAACAGCAACAGCAGCAGCAGCAGCAGTAGCAGCAGCAGCAGCAGTGGTAACGGTGGTGGCAGCGGTGCATATACCGGGACAAGCGCTGGATATAGGTACACAACCAATGTGTTCCCGATGAAAAAGCTCTGCTGCGGAAAGCAATGGAAGCAGACGCTGTCAGGTAGTGTACGAAACCGTTGTCATGGTGATTAACAAGTATGTGTCATCTGTCGAGAACGGCTAAGCAAGCAGACGATGTCACGTGGTGTGCGACACTGTTGTCATGGTGATTAACAAGTGGCAGGTGGGGCGTGCACGTCTCTGTACGACCGTGTCATTAGAGGAGTTTGTGATCGAAGGATCTGGTATCAGTGTCATCTCGCTGTGACAGTTGTCATGGTGATTAATCAAGTTCCTGTCATCTGCTATCGTGACGTGTCGCTGGTCGACGGACGGTCCAGCGTGCTGTCCGAAATATCTGCATTTTTCTGAATCTAAATCTAATCTAGTCGGAGTCTATATCTAATCTAGTCGGAGTCTAAATCTAATCTAGCCGGAGTCTAAATCTAATCTAGTCGGAGTCTAAATCTAATCTAGTCGGAGTCTAAATCTAATCTAGTCGGAGTCTAAATCTAATCTAGTCGGAGTCTAAATCTAATCTAGTCGGAGTCTAAATCTAATCTAGTCGGAGTCTAAATCTAATCTAGTCGGAGTCTAAATCTAATCTAGTCGGAGTCTAAATCTAATCTAGTCGGAGTCTAAATCTAATCTAGTCGGAGTCTAAATCTAATCTAGTCGGAGTCTAAATCTTAGATCCGCTGTAATAGAAGCATGCAGTGATGTTGTTTTATATATTGTTTGTATAATTTGAATTAATATATTATATAATTATATTTAAATATCTATATAATATTATATATTGAAGAAGTGGAATATTTTATCGTATGGACATGGTGCATGGTATCTGTAAGAGTTATAGGGTCACGCACAAATTTATATAGATTGTTAAATTCTAATGTCCTACGGGTAGAACCGTACATAACTGATAGAGTGTTATGAAGGAAAGTTTATATGTGATAAAGAATAACATCCCAGTGGGCAACAGCACCTCGAGTCGACATCGTATATTGGTCGTTTTTAGAACATAACGTCGATTGATGTGATTTGGACGTCCGTGCGACATCAATCAACAAATGTTGCAGAGACATGTGATTTGAATTTTGAATGTTGCAGAATTTGTGATTTGAGAGCAATGTCACCTCGACATCGTCAAGAAATCAAATATTGACCACTCTTTGTTTTTAGTTAAAATTAACTTTAAATTAATTTGTTGTCTTCTTATGTTAATCATGTTAATTATGTTTATTATGTTATCTTTAATAAATACATAATAAATAGCTATGCCTACGTCATATGTGTTCATCGTGGAGCAAACGCGCAAAGCATTATGGGTACAAGGTCTCGACAGCAGAAGTAAAAGAATCAAGAAATCAGACAGGCATAATTACAAATCCAGCTAATCTATCGAATATACACAGTATCAGTGTTTAAAAAAACGTACAAGTTATATATTTTGCATATGAAATGTAACTTGAAATGAATCAAATCTAATTTGTATAAAACCTTAACACTGGCTTTATTATTTATTGAACAACGAAACAATATCTTCGTGAGGATCTTTGTGAATAATTTTATAAAGAAGAATCCACATGGCATCAAAATTCGGTGACACGCATTGTCAATGTCAGGTACTGTGTAGCCTAGTAGTACTAACCACTTATTAGTAATAGTAGGCCCTACGACGCATCTGGAAGCTAACCACCAGCAATCCAGTTACTTCCCAATGGAATGTGTCGTGTACCAAGCAATATCTGCGGTTTGAACACTGAAACATAAGATCAGTGTCAATCTGTTGCCTTGGGCAATTGTGGGGCGTTTGGTTTTCTTGCCAGCCAACCACCATCTCCGGCCAGTTTTGGTGTATGCTATAAATTTCCACTCGCAGAAAATCGCAATTGCTTATATTTTCTACTCGCAGTTTCTCAATATCGACACGCATTTTGCGAGTTAGATTCCTGATATCGCATATTGCGAAATTCGAGCCCTGATATCGCATATTTTCCTATTACCTACCTATATGCATTTCACATTCAGTTCCATCACATGTATTTAGCGACATGTGCTCTCAACAACCACTTGAAATCACCCCTAGTTTGTTTACTTTATATAATGACTGCATTCAGCGATCACACTAAGACACCACCTGCTAAGTATTGCATGTAATGTAGAATTAATACATTCCCCGACCAATTTGTTATAAGCCTTCTAATTAAACAGTCAACGTTTTCTTTGCACATGTAAGATTTTGTCATGCGTCGTTCACTCTATCTTACTGTGGGTATGACAATATTGGGTACACCAATATACTATCAAATATAGTAATCTTAATCAATAAAATTGTAAGATCTCAAAATATTATATTAAATTGAAATATCTCTAAAAAAAAGTTCATGTCTTCTATAGAGATAATATCATAAAAGGTATTCATGATGTGATTAATTACAGCTGCTGCAATGAAGCAGATCGTGGCATATATGGGTGGATGTACAGAAGACCAAGTCAAAGAAGCGATGCAACGTATTTTTACAATGCCAAGTGGAAGAAACTATAATTATTGTATAGATTGGAAAATAAAGCCATTGTAGAATTTTAAAATCAGATGATCAGATGGTCAGTTGACGTCAACGGTTGATGTCCCACTGATATTTTTTGCCCACTAGGATAGGTGCCTCGCTCACTCCTAGCTATCCCATGTGTATTGTCAACTCGGCCGTTCAACATTTCACGATCTCCGGTATTTTCTCTCCACAGAGTACTCGCCGGAGGAGACGAAGGTGCTGCCATCTAGATGCGGTGAGTTGAGAGATCGCAAGTTCATGTGATGTTATATAAAGGGCGGCAACCAGTAATATCATCTACGTACGTGTACGGTTGCGGGTGCGGGGCCTAACTGTAACAGTTTATTATTTATTCTTGAAATGTGTATCTGCAACCTGTTTATGTCTTAGTGTCACAAATAACAGCGGCCCCATCCAGTGTCAGATGATAAGTGCCCATATCATTGCGGTATAATAATAGCGCGTCGAGTCATCATAGTGCATGTCGTGCATAAGCCGTGGCGTCGCGTGCGTGCGTCCCGGTGCCGCTGTGCCGTGTATGCGTGCGTGCCGTAGTGAAGCATGATAATTAATTAAATTAAGAGATGATCACGTTCGCGCACTGGAACAAACATCGCTCTAATCGAACAACCTCTGTTTTATAGTGCTACGACTGGCAGCATAACTGTTAACATAGGCAGACCCACACAGCCGTGCCAATACAAGGCGGCGCGCGCGGCGGCGCGGCGGCGGAGCTGTGAATGGAGACGGCAGGCACTTGATGTCATGCGCCTGGTAGAGAACACAATAATAGCAGTGGTATAGGATTATCATAGCTCGCAATGACGTGCACAACAGAGTAGAGCTGTGAACAGCCCCTGACAAACCCAAAATCGTTTCACCGGGCTACAACCCCGTACGCAGCGCACGCACGCACCCGCACGACATACACACCCACACGCGCTCGGCGCACACGTTGCTTTGATGAATCACACACTACCACCCAGGCACCGCACACAACGACATGCAGCGCAATTTCTCACGCACAACTGCAACACACACGCACAATTTGAACGGAGGCGCGACGCACGACACGCGGCGCGCCACACACGACAGTCACACACACACACACGACACACACACACACACACAACACACTACACACAGCACAGCAGCACATCACATACACACCACACGCACAGACGACCGCACGCGCGAACGCACGGCCACGCATACACAACAGCACGGGCGACAAGTCTCCATAATAGAGCCTACGACTATGGAGCACACGCACACGAATTAATGTTCCAGCACAATTATATAAGAGGACCGACGTTTCCGGAATGGAGGATCTTATTCATAAGTGATGGCCGCCTAACGTCCACAGCACAACACACAGACACACCGCACACACACACGCACGATGCGCAGCATGACACTACAACACTCTACAACAGCACCACATCCACACACACACACACCACACACCGTACAGCTACATACACCCGAGCGAACACCCACCATACACGACACGAGCACGCCACGCGAGCACACAGGATAGCGCGCTGGGCCAGGACCCGGACGGGTGCATGGCACACACACAACACACACCCACGGCAAGGCACACAACCCACATACACACACACACGCGCGCCGAGCCTTTCTAATCACACAACACACAATCATCCAGCGAGCGACACAGCAACACACACACACACACACATTACACACAGCCCGCGATCACCATGAGCGATTTATAGCGGCGCCTATGTCTGCGACCGGAATGAAAATATCTCGTAGTCCGTCAAAGCCGGTCGGACACACACACACAACACTCCACACACGCAAGCGCGACACACAGGACAGCTTGCACACACAAACCCACACACACACACACACACACACATACAACACAGCGCGTCGCCGGGAAACGCGGAATGGAGACCCTTATATTCCAACATCACACAACACGTGGCCCACCATCCACACACAGCCCGTCGATTTTGAGTACAATGCGAATGCTACACGAACACGACCACCGTAAACCACACCAGCCCGTAGATATATTAGAGTATTGTTGTTCAGCAGCTATGCCTCGCTAACAGCTGGTAGCCAAAGTCTCCCGTCATTGCGGCTGCGCGTGCGCCGCCGCTCACGGGAGGGAGCAGCATAGCAGAGCGTTCGGTTGTTCAGAGTAGATAGCGACACGTAGTAGCAGTAGCAGCAACAGCGAGCCCGCACAGGCAGCAGCAAGCAGCAGCAAGCAGCAACAGTAGCAGTAGCAGCTAGCAGTAGGCAGTAGCAAGCACGCAGTAGCAGTAGTAAGTCAGGCAGTCAGCCCAGCACGCACGGCATAGCAGTAGTTAGTAAGGCAGCAAGTATGCAGCAACAGCAGCACGCAGCAGCAAAGCAGGCCAGCAAGCAGCAGGCAGCAGCAGCCCATAACAAGTACAGTAGGGCAGTAGGCAGCATCAAGCATGGAGTAGCTAGCACAGCAGCCGACCGACAGCAGACCGAGCAAGCAGGCAGGTCAGCAAGGCAGCACGCCAGCAGGCAGCAACACCGTAATATCGACAGGTGCCACCTATGACAGGCACGCAGCACCAGTCAGCCAGCGCATCAGCAGCACAGCAGCCAGTAGCAACAGCAAACAGCAGCCAGCAGCAGAATCGCAGACAGCCAGCAGCAAGTGCATGGATAAACGGCCTGGTGGCAGCGGTGCATATACCGGACAAGCGCTGGAATATAGGTCATCAACCAATGTGTTCCTGATGAAAAAGCTCTGCTGCGGAAAAGCAATTGGACAGCAGATCCCTGTCAGGTATAGTTGTAGCGAAACCGTTGTCATGGTGAGGGTAACAAGTATGATGTGAATATGCTGCTCGAGAACCGCTACAACAACGCAGAACCCACAAAACAACCCCCCCCCTCGTACCGATGTCACGTGGTAGATGGCGACCCCTGTGTTAAGTCCAAAGAGCCGTACACACCTAACCCCCAAGAGTGGCAGGCCTGCGGCGTGCAGCGTCTCTGGTACGACCGTGTCATTAGAAGGCAGCTTGGTGACCTGAAGGACTCTGGTATCAGTCGCTCATCCTCGAAGCCCCAAGTAAACAGTTGTTCAACCACGGGTGATTAGTAATCAAGGTTCCTAGTCATGCTGCTACCTCCTGTGCACGTGTCCGCTGGTACGAACGGATCGGTCCCAGCGTGCTGTCCGATATATCTGCATTTTTCTCGAACTCTAAAATCTATCTACGTCGAGAAAGTCTAAATCTAACTGCCCTAGCTAACGGGAGTCAAATCTAAATCTAGCCGGAGTCTAAATCTTCAGATCCGCGCTGTGATTAAGAGAAAGCCATGCATGGGCAGGTGATACGTATGTATTTAGATATAATTGTTTGCTCATACGATTGAATTAATATATATATATCGTTATAATTTAAATATCACTATATAATATTATATATTGAAGAAGCTGGAACATTTTATCAGATATATGGGTGGCATGGTAT